GGAGGCTGTTGATGAGGCCAACTGGTGCTCCATTCGGGCATCTGTGCCACCTCCCACCCCTGCCACCTGGCTCCCAGCCACTGGGAAGGCCTCTGTTTCTTCCCTTGTGTCAGGAGCAGGGGACACGTGTGGGGACAGGTGTACCATCTGGCAGGGGTGAGGGCAGATTCCGGGGAAGCAGGGGATTAAATTCTCAGTCTCGGAGGGGCCTGCCAGCCTGGGGCACAGCTTTCCCTTGTTCCTTTCGTCCCTCTGTGTATCTCTTGCATGATTGCAAAGGAATCCTGCAGATCGCTGTAACACCTAGTGCTCCTGCCGCAGCGCCCTGAGGCGAGCTGCCACTCTCTGTCGTCTGAGCCACGACTGTCATGGTTCTACCTCTATTGTGGCGTCTGTCCCACCATATTGAGATTATATTTCCTTGGTTTTGTTCTCAACTGAACCATGGGCTCCAGGAGGGGAGAGAAAGTAGCCCTGATGCCTAACAGAGGGTTGAGCAAAATGTAAGGCTCAGTAGATGTTTAAGGACTAAATGTGCCTCCGGCATGAGCCACTGTCAGAGTCTTGTGAGGTTTTCTGCTTTCACCTCCGGCGTTTCTTCCGAAGAGCCACACAAGTGCTGAGAACCGTGTAGGCCCTTCCACGTGTCTACATAGGGTGGCAGAGATGCAGTGTTGATTCTCTGTCCCCAAGCTCAATTGGCAAAGGGCGCTTGTTCTTATGCCTACCACTGGGAAACTCTTCTGTGGGAAGGGTGATGTGTCTGCTCCGGATGGGAGTCACTGCCCAGGACCCTGTCCAGGATGGCTCACTCTCAGGGCCTCTGAGGCCTTCCTGGGCTAACCTTGGATGGTCCAAACACTGCAGGTCCACCATGCTCTTCAAGATCTTCAGGAAAAAGGCTGGCTTCAGCATCTTCCCTCAGTGACTTGTCCCCACCGCCTCTAATCATCTGATAGTGTGTCCGGTTGTACTGGGCCTCACACCCTGTGGGCTAGCCGTGTGCTGAATGGAGACGGTTGGGGAAAGAAAACTGCCCCACAGTCTGCACCCCCTGCCAAGTCCTTCCCATATATCCCTGACCCCACTGAATCAGGCCAAGGAAGGCACCAGAGACGCGGGGCCCCGGGGCCAGGAGAGCCAAGAATACAGTGTGAGTCACCTTTAATTAAGAGTATTTCTTAAGTAAATGACTTAATAGGACAGTTATATTCATTAAAGGCATAATTACAAGCCATAAGATCAAGCAGAAAAGAGTGGCGAGCGTGAGGGTGGAATCCAGTTTGAAGCAGCACCTCGGGTCCAGGGGAGAAGGCCGTGGGGGGACAGGAGGAAGGGCGCCCTCCCATTGTATGATTCCCATTGCCACACTCACCCGCCAGCCAGCCACTCCCAGATCCCAGCACTCAGAGTGGAGGAGGCCAGGAGCCTCAGGCATAATTAAAATGCAATAATAATAAACAAATGTTAATTAAAGCATCATAGAGTGTCCCATTAATCTCTGAGTCAGCCCTGACAGAGGGCGCCCGACGCGGTGGACACTCTCCAGAAGAAAACTCCCTTTCCTTCTTGGGCTTCTGAAGACATCTCCCTCCCCACCCACCCAGCCCTAGAGCAAGTGCTGGGCTGTCACCTGGGGTGCACACTGAAGTGGCTCCTGATTGTGCAGGCTTAAACTTGGTCCTTTATGGACTCCATAGATGGCTAGTGGCGACTGTCCTGGGCAGCACATACACAGGCAGTGTTTTCTCCTTGCTCTCAATTCCCTCAGCCCTCTTTGAATACTTCTCTTAGAACACATCTTGCTTTCTGCTTTTTATTGCTAGTCTGTTTGCAACTTGAAGGTGCTAGTTGTGTTTTAATGCTGTTGTTGTTTTTATTCTGAAGTGCCTAGCACACTGGCCTGGATGGAGGACACGATCAATGAATATTGGCTGACGAATGAATATAGAAGCACATGAATATAGGAGACAGAGAAGGCCCCTGGGAACATCCGACTTTGAGGGTGTCCTCCCGGTCACTGTGACATTTCTTTCCTCTGGTTTGTGTGTGGCTATTAGAGAATAATTCAAGTTTTAGACCACCACCCCCAACTCCCACCAACTTACAAGTTTCCTGTTTCACTTTGCTCTTCAACTCAGTGCATTAAGAAAAAAAAAAAATCCCACCAGGAGGGCCCAGGAAACAGGAAAAATAGTTGTGCTATTGGTTTCATGTTTGGAGAAGAACAGGGTTTCACTATCTCCATGGCACTTGGCGTGAAAGTGGGCTTTGTTGCTGGAGACACTGCTCCCATTCAGGGCCCCTTTTCCCAGCTGCTGAGGGCCGGGCTGTGTTTTGACAGACGGGCCGAATGCAATGCAGACAGTTGTTTTAATTTGCAGCCAGATGCAGACATCACTCACAAGGAGCCCGAAACCCAAGAAAAGGAGGCTAGGCACTGGACTGCCGCTCTCAGGCCTCAGAGAGTGGATGGAGGGGGCCAGCGGAAGCATCCCAGGCAGCCAGGGTCTGTGATATCTCAGAGGGCTCATAGTCACCAGACCCGGGAGAGGCACACTAGAAGGTCTCCAGCAGATACCTGCCTGAAAGGTGTTTCTTGTAGATATCGTGGGCCATGAGGCAGGGTTCAAGGGTTGTTCTTGAAGGCGGTATGCAATCAATTGGTGGTGGTGGTGGCTGCACGTTATCTTTTACCTGTAAAGTTGTATAGGACAAAAATCATAAACATAACTGTCTCAAGGAGGAATTACAGAAACTGTGGGAAATAGAATGCTGGAATGTCAGAATTGGAAGGGACTAATGTGACCTTCCTCTGAGGGCAGAAGTCCTTTCTTACAGCCTTCGTGATGAATGTCACCTTGACTGCTTATGCACCCCTGTGACAGGTGTTCCTTTGAAAATCGAGGCTGTTGTAGGATGTTGAGCTTTGCTGAACTTTTCACTCATGAGTCCTACTGCAGCCGTACTGTTGGCCTTTGAACACAGGAATGCAGCCTCCATGACTACCTTGAGACTCCACTTCATTGGACTAAACAAACATCCCAGGTTCATCTGCTGTACCTCAGACACCACCTCTGCATTCCACCCCATCCTGGCCACCCTCCGGGAAGGATCTCTGGTTGAGCAATACCCCCTCCTAGGGCAGGTGGCAGAGACCTGAACTCTGAACTCCCCGGTATGGGGTGGCTTCTCTTGACCCCGATGCAGCCCATGGTCAAAATAGCTTCTTTCATTATCACATCACCCTATCAGGTCCTATCAGACTTAGAGTTGAGTTGACTTTGAGTCAACTCAAACCCTCAGGTCTGTTACACTTGAGCTATTTCAAATCAGCTATCCTCCATCCTATACTTAGAGTACCAGGATTTTTTTTTAAAACAAAGTTGCAAGATTTTACACTCATCTCCCTGCATTTCATGTTTGTATTATTAAAAGGAGGTCAGGGATATTTAAAGCTGATCATGTCACTGACTTACAGAAAAGCCTCGTAATATGAAATATTAAATGTGCTGACATAGCAAGCATGGGTGAGGACACCCAGGAGAGGAAAGCAGGCTCTTCTCTCTCCCCACCCACCCACTGTACACCCTACACTTAGGTTTATAGTGAACTTGCCCATGATCACTTTTGCTCATCATAATCCTTCAGCTTGGCCTGTCTTTCCAGGTCTCTGCATCTGACCTCCTCTTGCCCTTTAAGGCACGCCCATCCCCTGGTCACCTCTTCTCGAAGCTCCCCAAACCCTCAGCACTCACACCAATCCCACACAACAAAAACTCAGCACAATGTAGAGCAAGCCTCGGCTTGTAATTACCAACTCCCACTGGACTCTGGGGTTCTTCGAGGGCAGAATCTGTGTGCTGTTCGCTATTGTTTCTGTATTGCATAGCACCAGAGCTCCACAGGGTTGACATCTGATAAACATTTGCTGAATGAACAGTGTTAGGATCCATCCTGAGCCTCTCAGGAGGATGCCGTGAAGGCGTCCCCATCATATCATCTGTCCCCCTGCCAGAGGCGGAACACTGTGCTGCTGGACCACAGGTTATGTTTTTACTTTTTTGCACATCCGGTAGGTGGGGGACCTCTATGCCCTAACAAATAAGAACCCATTCCCAGTCCAGCAAATGTTTTTGCAGCCCAGCAGCCTCCTGCCCCAGCCAGCAACAGACACCTAGGACATATCAACTGGAACACGTCAGTCCTCTGACCCCCGTGCCTAGCCTTTATTGTCACTCCTGCTGTGCAGGTGGGGGTGAGTAATATCCAGACAGGCCCAGCTCAAGTCCCTGCAGGGCCCCAGCAGAAGGCCAGGAGGAGTTTGCAAGGGCTGCAGTCTCCGGGGGGGCAGGGTCTTGATCTGCAGATCCCCACTTTCCAGGCAAGACAGAATCAGGCTGCTCTTTTCTGTGGATGTTCCCATTTAGCCAGACTTTTCAAAGGATGGGAGATTTACTAGAGAAACTGAATGCAGGCATCAGAGAATGGGATAATTGGATCCAGGTGGTATATTTGGTTGGTTGTAAAGAGTCTGTGCCATACTATGAATATTATTTGATGGGAAAAGTTTCTCCTCTCCCTTTTTGAATGTTTTCTGTGTAGGCAGGATGTCTCAGCCCAAGCCCAGCTGAAAGCTCTTCAGAGATGAGTTTGTGCCACTCAATAGCCTTTCAACAGAGTTAACCATTTTCAGTGCTTGCCACTGGCTTGCCAGACTCGGGAGGATGCTAGTGGCAGGCAGAAATAGATGGGGGATTTGCTGCCACCTCTGGCAAAGGCAAGAAGTCTTAGGCCTGCCACTCAGAAACACATTCAGCTTAGCCTACCTGCCTTATGCAGGTAAAGAGACTGGGGACATTGAGCCCATGACTTGCCACCACTGTCACCTCTTTAGGGGAGTTGACAGTACAAGTGTGAGCACATGCAGGACTGTCTGACACACACCTGCTAATCGTCACAACCTAACCTCACTGCACCGTCTTTCCTCTCTCTGCCAGGTCACCAGGGTCCCCGTGGAGTCGTGTGAGCAGTATACGACTTGTGGGGAGTGCCTGAGCTCGGGGGACCCTCACTGTGGCTGGTGTGCCCTGCACAACATGTAAGTTTGGGTTATACTGGAAAGGGGTTTGGCATGCAGAAGACCGGGGCTTTCCTGGAATGATGGGATATGATAGCGTTTTGCAGAGAGAGAGGAACTGTCCTTTTCAGAGCAGCAATTCTAATCGTGGCTTCAGTGTTGAGAGCAGAAAGAGGCAAAGAGCCCATGGGTGGGCCTTCTTTCTAAGTACAGGGCCTTTGCCTCTCTCAGTTTACTTCCAAATTCAGCCCTCCAGCTGCTCTGAAGGGATGTGCTTATATCCTTGTGTGTTTGAAAGAACTCACAAGGGAAACAGTAGTCTTGAGGTTTCCCCAGAACCTCCTCAGTGAAATAGGTGCCCCTCTGTGCCAAGAGTGTGCAGATGGTGGTTCATCAGCACTGAGAGGCTTAGACTCCAGCTAACTGCTGTGTGAGCCTGGATGGGTCCCCTGACAACTCCGGGCCTCTGTTTCTCCATTGCTGTTTAGGGAAAATGTCTGTTTCGCAGGTGAATTGTGAAGACTAAATGAAATAATAAGTGCTTTGGAAATAAGGAAGCCCAGAAGAGGCTACACAAATCAGATTAATTATCATGGACCCTGTACCCTTGGGAAGACCCTGCTGGCCTCATTATTTCATGATTCCAAGAATTTCACATCTCACTTTCAACTGGCCTCATCAGCTGCCATTGAATACCAACTCAATATTAAATGCTAAATCACACTTAAACTTCCTAATTTGAAGGGCCCCAGGGGAAGAGAAAGGGTGAAAACCCCAAAAGGCAGGAGCTGGCTAGGAATTCTGTTGCCCAATGGAGTTGGAAACTCCATGGCTCCATGCCAGCCAGCAAAGCATCTCCATGAAATGAGCTGGGTTTGGGGTGGAGGCGGAGGCGGAGGGCCAGAGTTCAGGGTCCTGCACAATAGCTCTTGGCTTCCAGCCTCTGCAGCAGGTGTTGGGAGGGCTCTGGAGGGAGGGAGAGAGGCTGGCGCCTCACAGATGTAAAATCTGGACTGGATTCGAGCCCGTGAATACTGGGTTCTCTGCTTGGGTTTTGGAGGTAAGAGATTCCTCAGAAAGTTTTGCAGAAATGCTTTTAGCAGACCTGGACAGTGTGTCTCCATTTAGGTCAGACAAGTGGTAAAGATGCTAATGTTGAGCTCCAGGAATGGCAAAAGGGGGTGCATTTCCATTCCTTGCCCACCAGCCAGCAGGCAGGGTCTTTCCTCGAGAGAATTTCTTTCTCCAAAGAACCTGACAGCCTGCTGCCAGCTCTGTGCAAAGGGCCCTGGGCTGCCTGCCCTCTTGCTCTGCAGTGGTCATGTCCAGAGGCACCTCCTGCTCCCCACACCTCCCCCACTGTGTCCTCTCAACTTCCGAGCCTGTGGCACTTCTCCCATGTAGAACACACCAAAATTATAGATCGGGGATTATCATTTATTCAACAGCAAGGACATCTGCTTTCCCCAACTTGAACAAGTGTCTGTAGATCCATCAGCAATGCCTGAGTCTCCCTGCAGCCACAAACCACCCTGTCTTCCTTCTGGTGCAGGTCAGCTGTGGCTGCTGGAATGAGCCACGTCAGGGTGGTCCCAGGTGTCCTCTGTCCCCTCAACTCCTTAACTCTTCAGAGAATCCTCCCTGCCTACCAGAGCACTCATCTCCCAGCTACTTTGCCCCAAGAGTTCATGGAGAACAAGATTCTTGCTGTTTATACCCAGAGGTTTCTCCACATCTGGGCATTCTCCTCCTCACCAGACCCTCCTGCAGCGCTCTCCCGCCTGCCAGCAGCAGCCTGGCATCGGGCATAGGAGATGGGGCAACCTGCGGCTCCCAGGTCCCCACGGAGGCCCCTTTAACGGAGGCCAAGGGCTGAGGAGCGTCTGAGGGGTTGGGGGATTTGAAGCCGTCCTGTCTCTTCTGTATGCCTTGCTCTTGCAAGTGTGTTATTGTCTCCAAGGCTATTTATCTCTGTTAGAGCTGTTGCCATAAATAGTATGATAAAAAAGAGCCATTTCAGTGAGTCAATGAGATAAAGGCTCCAGTCAAGAGCTCACTTTAGAGCTATCTTAAGGATTCACTTAAACCTCAATAATTCTTTTCTTTGACAGCATTCATATTTAGATCCATTATGTGCCTGAAAAGGAAGCGGGGAGGATTCTGGGGGGAGGTAGGGTGCGAATCACTGCTTGATTGTGGAATCGCTAGGGTCCTGACGGCTCTTTGGTTTGGACACGCACCAGCCGTGGAGCGGGTTTCCATGTGACAAGGCAGGCAGCAACCGGACACTCCTGAGTGCTGGTGTCACCTGCCCACCTGCCACTGTGGGCAGGGGAGCCTAGAGCCTGAGATGAAGACGTTGGGAGAAACAGCCAAGCATGCTTTCCGACACAGGCAGCCCTGGCTGCAGCCCCGTGTCTGTCTCTCTGTCTCAAGGCATTATTTCCTGACACAAACATTTATTTAAAATATACCATGTGACAGGTAGAATATCCCAATGAATAAAACATGGCCACTGCCTTCAAATAGCCATTAATCCACCCACAAAATCATATGCACACTGCCCCACACTGCCAAGATCCTCTCCTATTTTCTTAAAAATTTCTCCGGAGGAGAATGAGAATGTGAATCATCAGCACCGTTAACATCAATAGTATAACGGCTAACACTGTCATGGCACCTACTATGTGCCAGGCCATTTCCTAAGCCCTGACTCCTTTAATTCTTACACCAACCCCGTGAAGTAGGTATTATCACCATCTTCATCCTTTTTTCTTCTTTGAGATAAGATCTCAGTGTGTCACCCAGGTTAGGATGCAGTGGAGCAATCATAGCTCACTGCAGCCTTCACCTCTTGCGCCCAAGCAGTCTTCCCATCTCAGCCTCTTGAGTAGCTGGGACTACAGGCACGTGCCACCACATCCAGCTAATTTTTTTTTTTAGAATGGGATCTCACTATGCTGCCCAGGCTGGTCTTGAACTCATAGGCTCAAGCAATCCTCCTCACCTTAGCCTCCCAAAGTGCTGGGATTACAGGTGTGAACCACTGTGCCTGGCTGATCCTCATTTTTTTGCAGTTGAGGAAACTGAGGCAGAGAGCGATGAAGTAGCTTGTCCGAGGGGCCACAGCTAGTAGGTAACAGGTCTGGGGTTGGAACCCAGGCTCTTTGGCCCCAAAGTTCATTTGCTTAGCCCATGGCTGTGCGGCTCCTCAGGTCCCGCAGGCTGCCCTCACTCGCTGGCCTTAGCATCCCACACTGCTGTAAAGAGTCATTCTGAGGCAGGGAAGCAGGGTCTGGAGCCAGGGAACATAAGGCCGATTCGCACTTCAGCTATGACAGAAAATATCCTCTCCGTAGGTGTCCACTGGCTGGACGTGAGTTTGTAACTGTACTTTATCCTCTTCACTTATGTAGGGCGTACTCCAGGTAGAGGGTATTTAAACTCCCAAAAATTCTGTAACAGGACCTTCGAACGCCTGTGCTCAGGCCACTCCCACACTGTGGAGTGCACTTTCATTTTCCATAAATCCCTTCATTCCTTCTTTGCTTTGTTTGTGCGTTTTGTCCAATTCTTTGCTCAAGACGTCAAGAACCTGAACACCCTCCACCGGTAACAATTCTTTACGTCGAAACTGCATCTCTCCTGTTGGGGATTAATCCTCTTCCCTCTTGGTCTGTCTGTAACTTCGACAGAGACTGTCTGGGAGTCACCGAAGCCCTCTGGAGTACAGTAAAAGTATTTTTGAGAAGACAGAACATAGGTCACAGGGCAGCAAACCCCCTTCCTGCCCAGGAGACAGTAGAGCCAAACAGATGGGTTCCAGAAGCCTGACCTCTTGTGAATCTGTGTTTATGGCAGGTGCTCCCGCAGGGACAAATGCCAACAGGCCTGGGAACCTAATCGATTTGCTGCCAGCATCAGCCAGTGTGTGAGCCTCGAGGTGCATCCCAGCAGCATCTCAGTGTCTGAGCACAGCCGGCTGGTAAGTAACTCAACCAGAGGCATGGGGAGAGGGAGCACAGAGCATGCACCTGTGTGTGTGCTCCATTCACACTTGCATGAGTATCTGTAAATTGATCAGACTTTAAATGCAGTAAGGACACTTTACGTTTATAGCAAACCTATGGCAATGCCTATTGTAAAGGGCATAGTCCTTCCCCAGTTCCCCCTGCAAATTCATTACCCATTGATCTGTTTTGTAAATCTAGATTTTGCATTTAGTAACAAACATCTGCCATATAATACAATCCAATACCGAACACCACATTCTTCAGTGTCTGCTGTGTTTACAGTTCTGTACTCGCTGCGCTCTGTTACAGAAATCTGCGAGTTGTCTTTGTGTGTGTGTGTGTGTGTGTGTGTGTGTGTGTGAGAGAGAGAGAGAGAGAGAGAGGTGGGGGGAAAGAATAAGAGCAAGAGAGAGAGACTGCCTCAGTTCGAAGTCAGTCAGTGTATGCTTAAAGAGAATATTAAAGAGAATAAAATATCCCTTAACTATCTGTCAAGGTACAACCCAAAATATTTTATGTCCTCAGGCCCTGCATTATTATTTCATTCTGAAGGTTTTATGAGCATTCACGAATGTTAATTAGTTAATGAACCTTCCAAGATTTCAGTTCATTCATGCCCACCAGGAGTTTTGGCTCCCAGGGCGCTGAGGAAACAGACAGGGGAGTTTGTACCTAAGTCTCTTGGCCCCATGGAAACAAAACTGGGGCAGGGATTCAACAGCCAACAAATGTGTGGAAAGGCTAGGTGATGCCCACTGGGACTGAGAAAGCCACTGCATATTGATAGGAAGACGGAGGGAAACCTACAGGCTGGGCGCGGTGGCTCACGCCTATAATGCCAGCAATTTGGGAGGCTGAGGTGGGAGGGATGCTTGAGCGCAGGAGCTTGAGACTAGCCTGGGCAACATAGTGAGACCCTGTCTCTACTAAAAATTAAAAATAAAACAAAGGGAAACCCCCACCAAACCATCACAGTCCTCAACTTGGAAGCCACCGGAATGTCATCATAATGAGCTGTATGGGCACTCCTCATGGGCAAAGGAAGCCAGTTGCGTTTCTTACCTATTCAAATAACACTTAGATGCTGTATTGTGGTAATTGATTACAAACTCGTTTAAAATTGCGGTGGATTTACAGCAGCATTTTGCCATTAAATATTTTCTCAATCAGCGGATTCCCCTGAGAGTCTGACATTTTTACTATTAAAAAGAGGATCTTCAAACTCAAAAAAAGCTAAAAACCGCTGGCCTAGATGATCGGAACCCATAGGTAATAGCAGACATCAAGCAGTTGGTGGCCACTTCTCTGATCCCCTGAGCTCCTTATAAACCTACTGATCCATTCCAACAGAGTTTCTAGAGAACAGAGAGCCCAGATGGAACAGAGAAACAGAAACTCTAGGGAACCCACAACTTGATAAGTAGCCTCTTAATGAAGGACAGCCAGGGTGAGGAGCCAGCTATCTTCCACCAACCTGGTGAGCTCCTGGTAAACCTCCAGGTTGGTGATATTTACTCCCAGGAACCACATGAACCACAGGAACCACTTAGCTGGAACCACAGCTAAGACCTTGTTTGGGAGGGGCTCAGCTCGTGACTCGCTTTCACGGTTGCATGGTGCCTTGCCGTTAATTTTCACGTCGAAATGAACAGGGGTTAGAGGAATTTTGATACCTTTCCCTCCAGCACCCCACCCCTTAGTGCTTTCTGATGCTGGAGAAGATGGAAACATTAATTAATAATAATATTAATAAAGACCATTGACCCTGCACACATTGAATAATTAATGACTAACTAACTGTTCAGTGTCAAAGCTGGAAGACCACCTAGACCAGCATCCTTCTTTCATAGATGAGGTCGGGGGAGATCAGTGAGCAAGTTGGTCCCAGCAGGGCTGGGCCTGGAGCTCAGGTCTCCTGAGGTCTTTCTTTGGTGCCATCTCTTTGCCCCTGAGCCTCTCTGTTCCTCTCACAGCTCAGCCTGGTAGTGAGTGATGCTCCTGATCTATCTGCGGGAATCGCCTGTGCCTTTGGGAACCTGACAGAGGTGGAGGGGCAGGTATCCGGGAGTCAGGTCATCTGCATCTCACCTGGGCCCAAGGATGTCCCTGTCATCCCGCTGGATCAAGGTAAGAAATATCTGCCATGAGAGCTGCACATGAGGGGCTTCTCTCTACTGAGGGAGCTGGGGGGTGTGGTCACAAGAACCGGGTACAGGTATTGGCTTCTTATACCAGATATTGGCTTAGACAATGTGCTTGAGTTTGAAAACAAGCTGTCATGCCCCAAAGTGAATTTCAGGAAGGAAAACACTTGCTCCCCTTTGATTGAAGGCTGTACAGAACACACTGTCTTTCCAGATGGCCCGACCCTCCTAGGAATGCAGTGGCTTCCATCAGGAGTTTTTTAGCAGGTCTCTCCTCAGAACCTGGGGCTCAAACTTAGTATTTCTGAAATCTTTTCAGTAACGGAACATGGCTGACCAAGGCAATGGGCTCCGTGGAATCTGCTTCTTCCTCCCTGCAGGCAGAGGAAGTCTGGGTCTGAGGGGTGGGCCGCTATTCAATCAAAGAGACTCCCCTAGGGGGAGAAGAGACGATTCAGGCAGGTTCCACATCGTATCTGTGTCCCACGAGAGCCCTGGCGTGGCTTCATGACTTCATTTTATTCTTGTGGCTGTCCACTGGGTCCTTACGTTGTTACCCAACCCTATCCCTTTTGTTGGTTTTTCCAGACTGGTTCGGACTGGAGCTACAGCTGAGGTCCAAGGAGACAGGGAAGATATTTGTGAGCACCGAGTTCAAGTTTTACAACTGCAGTGCCCACCAACTGTAAGTGCTTATTGGGGAGGGTTTTGCTCTGGGTCTGGATGTGGGTGTGGGGTTTCTCTCCCTTGATGCTAAGCTCCTTTAGGACAGGAACCATGTTGTAGTCACCTCACAGTTTCCCCATGGGGTCTGGCACTTTGGACAGAGTGCATGGTATATAAATATTACCATATTAAACCAAATGGTATTTCCCCCCACAGTCTCTGGATCCTTGGACCCCACCCCAACATACCCTACCCCCAACTCTCAGGCCAAGACAGTAAAAAGAGAGTCATAGCACAGGAACCATACAAAAAGTTCTTCATTTTACATCACTTAATGGTGACTTTGAAGGTAGAGATTGACAGTGAGGGGAATGTGTACATGTCACCCACAACAAGATGAAGAGGAACTACGAGCTAGGGAGTCAGCTATGCACACAGTCACCCACAGAGGAGGAGCAGGGAAGGGGGAAAATAGCCTCTCTCAGCCCATGACACAAAGACCTGGACTGGGGAGGTGGAGCGGAGGCCTTAACTCTACCATATTTTAAATCCATCCTTCAATATTTTCAAGAGGAAGGGAAACCAGACAGGCTAAACCACAGCCTTCGGTGGGGCTTAAGTTCAGCTCTACTGACCTCACCAGCCATCTCCAGCAGCTGGATGCCTGCCAATTGGTGCCCACAACCTATGAGACCCCACAACTTTGTGAGAAGCTGGGGACATTTCACAAGGAAAAAAAGCAGGGTCAGAAATGGAGGGAGCGAAACCCCTACTGAGTTTCTGTGGATCCTCTCTCATAGACAAACTGATACCCTTCCCACAGAAGCTGGGAACTCATGCACCATTTGGTTTAGAAAGAAGGAAACACAGGTCCCTGTAATAGAGCCACATAAGGGTCATAGGACCAAAACCCCTGGACATTCAGCAAAGGGAAAGGTCGATCAACAGCTCCATATCAGAGAAAGCAGTGATTGGGAATGTTTACGGACTCATCCTTCCCATTGCCCAGGGCAGGAACCACTTGGGATCCACATGATAGGCAGGACTTCAGGGGCATCCAGTCTGTAGGATCCAAGCTATGGGCATGATGGGCTCAGCAATTAAGGTGGGGAGAGGGTCTGTTTGCAGCTAAACCCTAAAGGAATCTTTAGACATTAGAAGAGGCAAATAAGTTAGTCCTCCTTATTCTCCATTTTTCTGAACTTGATTTTCATAATTAAAATAATCTTCTGGAGTTCTTGGGTCTCTACAGTAGTCAAGGAAGGAGCCCTATTGGGACAAATAAATAGATGTACTGAGAAAGACAGAACAAGTGATGAAAATGGCCTGGTGGGAACCAGGGAGGGCAGAAAGGGACTGAAGCTGAAATAGACAAAGTTGCCCACTGACCACTGCATTTGAATCCCAGCAAACCCTGCTTTGGGAATGGCAAGCGTCTTGGCGACAGAATCTCTTACCTCCTTCTCAAACTCCAACATGGTGGTGATGGAATCCATTATTTGTGAGAACACTCTTATCTCCATGGCAGCCCAGTGTGATGTCACCACTTTCAAAGACGTATTGCTATGTCAACACAGATGCTGTCACAGGCAGCAAGTTTTAACAGAAGAAAAGCAGGTCTCCTTGAGAGCCAAGATTCCATTTTAATGCCAAACACTGTCTCTTGCCCTTCTCTACTCCGGGAATTCATAGTTAAAAGTCATGGAATCAAGTTTAGTCCCCTCCGTTTAATATAAAAAGTGAACTAAGGCCCACAGAAGATTAGTGCTACAATGAAGGTCACAAAAATAGCCAGCAGAAGAGCCACATCTAGCAAGAGCCCCAGTAACCATCCTCCATAGGCCCTTGGTCCATTTTCATTATTTACTTGCTGAACTGTAAGATGTTGCCGAGAACCAGTCTGTCTGAGAGTATATGAGATAGCATTGGCCTAAGCTCAGAAAGGAAAAAAGTCTGGGCAATGGAGAACGGGATAAAACTGCTCTGCGTGGGAAGATGAAGTGTAAATGAGCTAACCTACCTAACATACTATGACCTGTGAACCAGTGACCCCTGGATCAAGCCCCAACCACCCAAAGGTAACAGAGCCCCACCAGGTGGCGCCAGACTGCAGACCTGGTCCTGTCCATTCCAGATTGGCCTAGTTGTGAACGACTGGAGTAGGGGGGTGCAAGGAGGAGCAAGACGAATCCCACCTACAAAACCCATTTCCATTATAATGACCTGGTCACACGCAGAGAGCCAAAAGAATATACACAGTCTCCAGGTGAAACTGGAAGGAAAGAAGTGCTCACCCTGGCAAGAAAAGCACGTACCACGCGCATACTCTATTATTCCGGCCCTGGGGGAGTGGGGCAAAGTTACCACTTAATACTGTTGGCTCATCCAAGCCCAGTAACACAGATGATGTGAACCAATCGTTAACACTCAAATGTTATTTAGGAGGTTGAAATAACAGGTAATTTAAGCCCTTGACAATAATGCTCACATTTAGCTTGGCACTTTTCAAAACCATTTTCTATGCGTTATCTCATCTGACACCACACAGCCCTGTGGCATCGACAGGAATGTTTTATTACAGGCAGATGAAGATACTCCAATTCAGAAGGTGAAGTGACTTACTCAGCGTGACCCCAGTGGCTGCAGCAGAGGCAAGACTAGAATCAGATCTGCCCAGTTCCTGTCCTGGTGCTCTGTCAGCTACCCTGTCTTTACAAGCAGTGATATATTGGGAAATGTTTTTTTTTTTCTTTTTTTTTTTTTTTTTTTTTCGAGAGATTTTCTCTCATTCCCCAGGCTGGAGTGCATTGGCGTGATCTCGGCTCACCGCAACCTCTACCTCCTGGGTTCAAGCAATTCTCCTGCCTCAGCCTCCCGATTAGCTGGGACTACAGGCATGTGCCACCATGCCTAGCTAATTTTTGTATTTTTAGTAGAGACGGGGTTTCACCATGTTGACCAGGATGGTCTCGATCTCTTGATCTCATGATCCACTGGCCTCGGCCTCCCAAAGTGCTGGGATTATAGGCGTGAGCCACCGTGCCCGGCCCTGGGAAATGTTTAGCTACCAGCATCGGAAGAAAACCTAGTTGGCGGCATTACCAAATTCTGTGGCGAAACTATTTCCATCATGGTCAATTCCAAACGACCACCATGATGTCTACCAGCTTGCAAAATTCCTGAAAATGCGAATAATCAGTTCTCATGAGCTTATTTATACAAGCACACCACTGCTTTGTAAGTTACACTGTTATCTGGTCTCATTTTCTTTCCAATGTTCTGTTCCCGTGAATGTCATGGATGGAGAATCCACAATTCTTGGTGCTAGAGGATGGCCCACCAGTCTTCCCTCATGAGAATCAGACTAGGATTTAAACACAGGTTAACAGATTTTAATCATGACACATGCCACCTTCCCTCTTTGTTCCCTTCTCTCTGCCTCTCACAGTCTCTGTCCTTGCAGGTGCCTGTCCTGTGTCAACAGCGCCTTCCGCTGCCATTGGTGCAAATACCGCAACCTCTGCACGCACGACCCCACCACCTGCTCCTTCCAGGAGGGCCGGATCAATGTTTCAGAGGTAAGAGGGGCTCACCCTTACATAGCAGTGTTCCCAGTGAGTCTGAGTGGCCCCTCCTTCTTTAGATGGTCAAACGACTATGGCTATTTTCTTGCCCTGGCCCATCTTGGCCATCTTGCCAGAAATTCTGCATGCTAGAAAGCCCTGTTATTATAAAGATCAAAAAGTGGCAGCCAATGACCCCAGAGGCAGAGGCAATATCTACTAGACTCCTAAGACTCTATGCATTCAAAAGCTTGAAGGTAACTGGGGGTTTAGACTGAAAGCTTAGAGGAAACATATTCAACCAAACACACTCCCTGGTCTAGAAGAGTGTAGTGAATGGCGTTTATTCTTTGAGTCTAGCCCTTTGCTTGGCTGCAGACATAGTCTAGTTCAATGGAACATTCACTCTCAACCATTCTTTCATGCCAACTTCTCTTCCAACTCTCAAATTCAATGATTCTTTGACTCTGATGTATGACTGGGTGGGTGGCCTTGTAGAAAAAGAGAAAAACTGAGCTAGTGAAAAGAACCAGGCATTGCTAAAAGTCCTGTCTTATTATACAGTTGAAGCTCCATTCCTAAAGCCTGACTCACCTTTGTTATCAACACAGTGAAATATCAAATTGCTTATCTTCCTAATGGATATACCATTCAATGATTATTCACTGATGTCGACTTTCTTACGTATTCATAGCATGTCTCAGGACAGGGAAGCCTGGTTACCCAGTCTCCCTTTCTTGTATGGAATGCTTTTCATTCCCCAGGATGGCCAATTGGGTTTGAACAACTATAGAGACCTGACGTAGCCATGCAAATGCACGTGTGCATATACGCATGTTTGTCTCTTACTCTATGTTTTAGAAAATCCAAAAATGGCAATAAGTGACAATGTAGCATTTTTACATGCTACGATAGCCTTTCTATACACATCTTCCTCTTGCACTAGACAGCAAGCTCCTTGAAGGCAAGGACTACCTCTTATCTTTAAATCTTCAATGTCTTATTTAGAAATATTTGTAGAATGCATGCAAGAAAGAATGGATGAGCCAATGACCTCTCTATTTAAATCCCATTGATGGCAATCGAGTCGACTCATCTAAGATTTTAAGAAATGGAGTCTAGTGTGTTCTGATCTCCATAGCAGTGCTTGTTGCTTCCATGGCTAGACGTAAGAAAATAGACTCCGCAAGGTATCCCAAAACACACACACCCTTGAACTCTTCTTAGTTTTTGAAACAACTGGTGTTACATTCAGTCAGAAAAATGGAATTTGCCTGTCTTGAAAGGGAGAAACATAGGTGCCGCAGGTGGCATTTCAGACGGACCCATCCACGGGTGCCTCAGCATGAGGAAACCAGGCATCGAGTGCCCTGAGAACCTTTCAGAAAAGCATCTTCCTCCAGCCAGTTGGTATGCTTTGATGGAGCTGGCCTCAAAACCCTATGCCAGCCTTCCTGGACACTGGAGATTAATTCCAGCCCTGGAATTCTGCGGGGGGTATGCAACTGCTTTGGGGCTAGTCCTCTCACTCAGAGAAAAGGGCAGAGCTGCAGGCAGGGGTGGGAGTGGGCACCACAGCTTGGGAACCAATGGAAGAATGGCTTAGAGGGCAGATCTTGCCAAGAACAGCAGAGCCGTGGGAGACCTGGGCAGGGGTGAAGGCTGAGCAGTGAGAGAGTATGAAACACAGCCTCAGAAACTAACCTTGACACGGGCCACTTTGAAAGTTCCTTAAAATGGATTGAGGTGGCCCCCAGGACACAGAGAGACTGGGTGAAGTACAGATCTAGACAAGAAAGAGCAGTTGCTCCACTTTCTCCTGAGGCTACCCACCTCAGGCCGAAAGAAACCCAAAGCCAAGCCTGAAAGTGACCTGCAGCTGGAGCAAGGGCACCGAGCATCACTCAAAGCAGGATAAATAAACTCTGCCGGGGTGTGTGTGGAGGCCAGAGAGCTGAGCCCCTGCAGCTAATGGAAAGCAGGCTCAGCCTTCCTCACACCGTTCAGAAGTCACTGAAATACAGCTCCCTCTCAGCCACGGATGAGAGATTGCAACATTCCAGAGCTGGGCCGAAAGAAGCTGTTGCCTCCCTGCAACTCGGCATTAAATTAATACGTAGGAATGGTGGATGGCTGCTGTCTTATGATCGTGTGCTTCGGCCCCTGGCATGGCCCCAGGGATTGGCTGTCTGGAGGGGAGCTGTGAGGGAAGCCCAGACTCCACCCAGCTCCCAACTTCGCCCAGGAAACAGGATGCAGATTCCCAGTGAGGTTGCTAGGGCCACTTCCGGGGCTTCCTAAAATACTGCTTTAGTTCTTAACCGCAGCCGGCCACATGTTCTTTTCAGCAAACAGCAGCCAGGCCCCACTATTTTCTGTCCAAAGTTCTGCTACAGGAGAACCCCACGCCTGAAAATTTGTGAAACAGCAAAGATGCACATGCCCAGCTTGGGTAAGGTTTCCTTTACTCTCTCAGGAGTCCCAGCTGATATTTTCATGCAGTTTGGGGAACTGGAATCACCTGGATTTCCAGCTAACTGGAAATCCCTTAGCAGTCTCTTTAGGGGTTCCTAGAATATCTCTTTTAGAATTCCAGTAAGCCTCCCTTCCCAATTTTGAATCAAAATTTTATGTCTGTCTGCTTCCTAGAAACAATATATAACTGATTAGCTCCATTGATTAATATAGCAACATTAATGTATCACACATTTATAATTTCTTCACATGTGCCAGGAGTTCTCAAAGTGTGCCTGCCAGGGACCAGCAGTGTCAGCATCACCTGGGAACTCATAGAAATTCAAATTCTTGGGCCCCATCCCAGATGAGGCTGAAGAATGAGAACCACTGACATTTGGCATTTTCACTGATTCTCACAACAGCCCTGCAGTTTCATAGAATTTATAGCTGACATCTGTAGTAACCAGAATGCTAAAAACTTAGGGGTTTTGCCCAAGACTACAGAGAACTCAGGCATCCAAAAAAGCTGAGTACAGTGCAGAAAGTCAGGGAGCTTGCTTGTTTCCATGGCTGCAGCCACACTTCTGGCCTGACTTCAGCCTGGTCCTCTGCTGTTGGTGATGAGGGTTCAGGGTATGGATGGGCCAGTACAAATCCATCTCCACAGACAGAGAAACTGCCCATAGAAGATGGGTCCGTGGTGCCATTTCCAGATAAAAAGACAGCATATGAGATAAATCTGCCCACATCTTTCCAGAAGGCTGATGGACCAATTCCATGCTTAGGCTTGACAATGAAGAACAGATGTGCTACAGCGAATGCCATTCAAAAATAAAAATATTAGGAGTTAACGTTTATTGAGTGCTTATTATCTATGTAGTACATATATATGTGTATTTATATAATTTAATCTTAAGTACTCTATGAAGTAGATTCTATCATAAATGAATAGACTGAGGCTTAAACAAGCTAAACAGTTTTCCTGTGATCATCAGATAAATGCAGAAATTAGGATTCAGAGACAGTTTTCCAAGCTGGCCTTGAATAAGTTGAAATCCACTGCTCCTGTATTCACACACACACGCGCGCGCACGCGCACACACACACACGAAATAGGCATTAATATTGACAATTGCTAATCCAGCACATTACCATTTACAACATACTTTGATATTCCTCTTTCATGCAATCTAGGTTTGTCAGATATTATTGGCACCATTTTATAGATGAGGAAACTGACTTTCAATTGAACCATGTGTCAAGCTCTCTTAAGGTAATGAGTCAGACCTTTCCAGCTCTCAGAGCACAACAGATCTCCAGCGGGGCCCCCCACATCTCTGCCTCCCTGGGCCAGATCAGGCTGTGACATGGTGTTAGCAAGCGGGTGTGCATGGGAGGATGTATGGCTCTCAGCTTTTAAAGCTCATCTCCCTCTACGGCTAAACCAGGCCTAGTGAGATGTAGATACATAAATATCTTCTTCATGCCCTGTCCCAGGGGAAAGATAGAACCAAATAAATCCGATTAGCTTCCCAGGATGCTGGCTGCTCTCTCTCTTTGAAGTCCAGTGGGTGAAGATAATGCCATTTCCACATGGGAGAAGTCGCTTCAGAGGGCTAAAGGGTCCCCGGCACAGAAAGCTGGCAGAGCGCGGCTGAACAGGTGGGCAATGTGAGCCCAAGACTCAAAGGGCTCCTACATAAGGGTCCCTGCCCTCCCTGCAGCTGTGCTTCCTCTTCCTCAGCCTACCCCCACCCTTGGGATAGTCCCACAAGTTTAAGTCTTGGTTTAAACTAAGATTGCTGCTGAGGAGGTGATCCTGGCTCCAGCTGGCCTGGAGACAGAGGAGGAAGAAGATGACCCAAAAGATCGCTCAGAAGACTGTGTGGATCTGCAGTAGTAATCAGTGTTTCAGGAATGTGAACAACAGTCTTAACATTCTGCAGGAAAAGCATCTTAGGATGATTTGCTTTCTTGTTCATAGCAAAGGTACTGTATGTGTATGTACACATGTGTGTGCCTGTGTGTATATGTGTGTGCCTGTGTGTGTATGTGTGTGTGTGCCTGTGTGTGTGTGTGCCTGTGTGTGTGTGGTGTGTGTGTGTGCCTGTGTGTGTGTGTGTGTGTGCCTGCCTGTGTGTGTGTATGTGTGTGTGTGTCTGTGTGTGTGTGTGTGTGTGTATCCACAGAAGCAAACAGGTTGGAAGGGGCCTCATTGTATCTGATTAAACCCTTCACTGTCCTCAAGCCCCAGAGATATTGAAGTTCCAACAACTTGGCAATTTTATATGGGATGCCAGTCTCCTCCGCCCCCTTTCAGCCCTTTCCCCTGCGATTTTCCACCCAAGATTCACAGATCCTTCATGAATATACTCCACAGAAGCATCTCACAACCCGAAGGGTCTGCATCTTCCTGTGTTTCCCAAGATGAAGAAAGCATACCTGGGGCACCAACCACTTCTTTCCTTTGCCTTAGAGAATAGAAGGAAAAATCCTATTCTGTCTGATCTGAGAGCAATCGCCAAGTAAAAAAACAAAGCATAAGACAATCTTTCTCTACTAGGGCAACCTTGGGGCCTAGTTCAGCATTTGGGAAGACCCTAATTGTTATCCTTAAATTTCATTCTAAAAAGTCCAAACCAGCAGACCAAATTCCAGAACCTCCCCCCAGCCAAAAAATAACCCTCATATATAAGACTACTCACAAAGTCTACTCATGATTCTCCAACCTCCGGGCTGGACTGGACTCAGCCCAGCTGAAAAGATGAAAGTATGTGTGTGTGTTACATATAGGTTACATGTGTGTTATATATAGGTATTACACAGAACATCTATATAAAAATATACTTTTCTTGGTTCAAGTTAAAAGGATTCAACAATCTTTTTTACTAACTCCAGACATCATGCTTCCAAAAGTACATCTTTAAAATCTTGCTACTGTAATTTGAATTTGTTGTCTAAGCTCATTATAGATGAAAAACAACTGCTCATCATTTACAATACATCAGCTGGTTCAGAATCGGAAAATCTCCTCTCTCTTTCTCTCTGTCCGTCTCTGTCTCTCTGTCTGTCTGTCTGTCTCTCTCTCTCACTCATACACACACACAGAGAGAGAGATGAGAGAGAGAGAGAGAGAGAGAGAGAGAGATCATTATACCTCAGCCTTATTTCTAACTTAAATTCTAACATTAGATTTGATGGAAATTTTTTAGCTGCCAACAGGAAGTGTTATCTCCTTTTCCGTGAGATGCCTGGGCTTCCCTAAAGTGGTGCTCATCTTTTTTTTTTTTTTTTTTGGCTATAAATATATGAAAGAGTCTGTCAAGAGTGCCTGCAGGGAATGAAAGTAAAAGTGCAGTAAAGAGCAAGTGTATGAGTTGGCAGCTTGAGTGGCTGGTTCCTAAACAGGGACCCATCTGTTCTGGGGTTTCCTTACGAATCTCTCTCGTGGAGGCCCTGCCTGCCTGGATGCCTCACATGCAGGTGGCCAGCTGACAAGGGATGACACCAGTGAGCCTGCAGGTGCATCCAGACCCTCCTAGGTAGGTTTCTGTGCAGAATTTCCTCCAGATCCGGCTCTCCGTAAATTGTCAGAATTCCTTAGTAAATGTGAACATGCCACTTTAGAAGTCACATGACTCCAAAACCTATGACCATTTCCAACTCCAACTTTTGAGAATCAAATGCCTTCTTAAGTCTCTTCAAGTCCAGAAGGCAGGCTTTACCTCATCTCTAAAGAATCTACAAAGTTGGAGCTAAAAAAAAAAAAGATCTTTTTCACGGGTTGCTTTATTTTATTTTCTGTTTACCCTCCCACATGCAATGACCAAGTGTCCATTACATATCAAGCACTGGCAGAGAGACTGGAGAGATGGAGGTGAGAAAGATGCAGCCTCATCCTCAAGAAGCTCACAGCCCAGTGAGGAAAGCAAATCAAGAAACTGTCATTCTGTGGGTCAAAAGCAATCACGGGTGAATATTCATAACCCATCCTGAAGCCAGTGCAGGGACAGGGTCAGGGACAGCCTTGCAAGAAGCAGCCGGTCTGAGTTTGAAGGCTGATTAAGAGATAATCAATTATTCATTCTCAGAGAAGGTGATTATTTAAAAAGCCAAAAAAGTAAAAGAAGAGGTAATCAACTAAAGAGGAGCTGAAGCAGGGGGCAGGAGGCAGGAGTGTGTTTCTGATAGACAGAAAAGCATGTTCAAAGGGCCAGAGGCAGATCCTGTGACAGAGATGCCATCTCAGAATTAACCATACATTCAGTATGGCTGGACTATTATGTACAAGAACCACAGAGGTTAGAGGGAGGTAAGCAGGGGCCAGATGCCAACGGGCTTGCAAATGGGGTTCAGAGAAAAGAGGTAACAGCCAAGCCACACCATGACAATAGTTAGCCACAGGAGATTCCCTGTCTGAGGCTGTGTCGGCATTGCACAAGGCTTCTTAACAGGGATTGCATTTGCCATTAGGAGGACAACGCTTTTGTCATTGAACACATCCTACACCTTGCAGGAAGTTCAGCAATCCTGGCCCCTGGCATCAATGCCAGTAACACCCTCTGCAGACCCTAGGCATTCCCAGGAGTTCCTCCTAAGAACCACTGCCCAGGAGAAGGGGACAGAGAAAGCGGAGCCTCCTGTGAGAATTTCCCTGGTGATTCCCTGTGGAGGTGGTTCCCACATCATCACTGCCAAGGGCTACTGGGCTCATCTTCCCTAGGAGAGAAGGAGAAAGAGGAGATTGGCACAGTGGGGTGGCCCTTTGATCTCTGATGGAGAATCACCGGCTAGTCATGGAGCTCCAGAAAATCAATCTCTCTTTCTCACTGTCTCTCTCTCTCATGGTCCTTTCCAAAGCCCCTCCCTACCAAGACTTTCTTGTTTTGGTTTTGTTTTCCAAAGCAACATGGCATTCACACGGGGCCTGGTAATGAAATGAGATTAACAAAGAAACAGAGCAAATGTTTAGAGTATTGCTGGGAGGGCTTGACCCACCTCCTGGAAAGCCCAGCTCAGTCGGAGCTGGGAAGCTGAAGCTGCTGATAACGGACGCCCCCAGGCATCGACAATGCAAGGGGCCGAGTATCTGGAGCTGGAAAACGAGATGAAACCCAGAGGTAGGGGTGCCAGGTTGGGGACAGGGACATGTGGAGGCTCTTTTATCCAGTGTCTCGGGAGATAAAATCCACAGCCTGCCACACTGTGCTTGAAAATTAATTCCTGAATTGTCACACACACAGCAGATACGGACAACTTACTGGAGGGGGGGTGACAATATCAAAGCCCAGGAGCTAAGAGTGATTCCGTTTTCCCTGCCCGAGTCCACGGGCCTTACACGAAGTAATGTCCTGCTCTTGGGCAGCCCACCTAATGCAAGATGGGCCTGCGTGGCTCAAGGGGGTAGGACAGCATGAACAGGGGACAGATGGAGCCTCTTCACTTGTTCCCGCAGGACTGTCCCCAGCTGGTGCCCACGGAGGAGATCCTGATTCCAGTTGGGGAAGTAAAGCCGATTACCCTTAAGGCTCGAAACCTGCCCCAGCCACAGTCCGGCCAGCGAGGCTATGAGTGCGTTCTCAACATACAAGGGGCCATCCACCGGGTCCCCGCCCTGCGCTTCAACAGCTCCAGCGTTCAATGCCAGAACAGCTCGGTAAGAGAACTCAGGCTGCCTACAATCCCAGCATGTTGGGAGGCCGAGGCAGGCAGATCACAAGGTCAGGAGATCGAGACCATCCTGGCCAACATGGTGGAATCCTATCTCTACTAAAACACAAAATATTAGCCAGGTATGGTGGCAGGCGCCTATAGTCCCAGCTACTCTGGAGGCTGAGGCAGGGGAATCACTTGAACCCAGGAGGCGGGGATTGAAGTGAACCGAGATTGCGCCAGCGCACTCTAGCCTGGCGACAGAGCAAGATTCCATCTCAGAAAAGCAAGAGAGAACTCAGGCTAGGCCCTGCCTGGAGCAGCACTTCCTCTTACACTCGTGCTAGGGCCTCAGTGTGGCCAGCCCTGGTTTCCGGAGCCTTCCAGGTTCACAGGCTGAGCCCACATCCCCAGGGATGCAGGAGCCAGCCAGCACCCCAGCCGCTCAACCAGAGCAGAGCAGGTGACTGGTGCCAGAAAAGACAGAGTTCCATAAGGACCCTCATGGCTTACACTGAGATCTCTGTGCCCCTTCTGAAGTTGATTTTTTTTTAATTTTTAATTTTTTATTTTTGTGGATATGCAGTAGGCGTATACATGTATGGGCTACATAAGATGTTTTGATACAGGCGTGCAATGTGAAATAATCACGTCACCGACCTTTCTGAAGTTGAAAGAGCACCCTTTGTCTTCAGTGAAACTTGAGCCAAAGGGAGTCAGCTCCATCCCACACCCTGTTCCCATCCTGGTCCCCCTTTCAAGGAGTGAATACCAGGAGGGTGCTCCGCAGGGGAAAGCCGGGAAAGAGAGGAGCAGGAAGTGAGATGGGAGGAGGGGAGCCGGAGGGGAGGGGAAGGAGGAAACCGTGAATTTCAAGAGAAGCAAGGGTTAAACCAATCCTGAATGGCAGACAGAGAGCATGAGGTGTTTAATTATAATACTAACCCCAAGAAGATCTTTTTATCTGCCAGCTCCCTGTCTCTGACTGTGGGGGGTCAGCTGCAGATGCAGGAGGGGAGGAAGTGACAAAGGTGTTGAGGGAAGCTAATTCGCCTGGGAGAGATAAAGGGAATCTGGGCCTCTTATCAGGGAGCTGTCAGATTCTCAGGTCACAGGCGCTTGATAGAATTTGTAATCGGTGGAAGGCCGCCAAGCACAAGGGGAAGGCAGGATGAGAAAGAAACGGGACACAACAAAGGGAGGCAGGGGGCAGGGGCGGGTGGGGCAAGAGGCTGACAGTGACATGCCCTCCACAGCTGAAGAGTGGGGGGTCAGGGAGATGCCCCAAGGTCTCCCTCACAGGGTGCCGGGGCTGGCCACCCAGGGGTGTTATTTCTGAAGTTTGTGAAGGGACTGAATGTCTTCTGTGGGATCAGCCCAAGAGAGAAAGTCGTAGACTCCTGGCCAGAGCTGGAGGACTTTAATGGCAGGGCTGATGAGATCTGTGCGGGGAGAGCTGTGGGCACTCCTCCCTAGTGGACCGCTGGCTAAAGGAAGGCTCGTGGGGAACTAGAGGGCCACCGCAGGGCTTGGCCGGCTGACTGCTCCATGAGACTCTCAGCCTTACAGAGCAGTAAGATGGCGTTAGCTCTGCCTATGGAGACATATGGACTTTGTAGAGAGACACATGAAAAGAGGCACAGCAGATCCCGGAAAGTGCTGGTGCAAGACAGAATGCAGCAACACCAGGGGATGGACAGTTTGGGGTAGGTCTGCGGGGTTGTGGGAGAGGACTCCCGGGGAAAGTGAACTGAGCTGGGCTAGAAGAATATGGATGGGTTAAAAGGATGGAGGTTGTAGGGAGAGGGTTGCATTCCTAATAAGACAGGAACTCAACGAAGACAGAGAGGGGCTTAAGATGTGTTTGGAGAAAGGTCGATTCAAAGCTTTCTGCAGGAGAGCAGTGGAGGAGAAGGCTGGAGGAGTCAGCTTGCATCTGATTATGCAGGGCACTGAATGCCAAGCTAGGGGGCTTGGGTGGGATTCTCTTGGCATTAGTGACTGGGATTCAGGAAAAGGGTGTCATAAGAATAATTTGAGCAGCACGCAGGGTTTCCCTGCATTCCCGACCCCTGGGATGGAGAGCCCTGTGAGCCCCGTGCCTCTGCTCTCTCCCTACAGTACCAGTATGATGGCATGGACATCAGCAACCTGGCCGTGGACTTCGCCGTGGTGTGGAATGGCAATTTCATCATTGACAACCCTCAGGACCTGAAAGGTAAGCGGCTACTTCTGGGTATAGGTTTGATCTTTTCATGACCCCGGGAAAGACTGGGGCTGGAGGGATCAGAGCAGCCAGACACTGTGCCATGAATAATACACTCCCTCTGTCAGCGGAACTCTTCAGAGGATCCTAAAGCAACATTTGGAGCCATCAAAGGAGTCCTGTTGGGAGCCCTGTTTTATTACAACCAGAGCATCCGCAGGGCGGCTGCTGGCCCATCCACGTTATTCTTTGGCTCCTGCAGGCTTTGAAGTGTCTGTGGAGCCTGACCTAGGAGAACAGCAGGCAGGAACGTCCCGCCAGTTTCCCTGGAAATGGAGATATTGTTTCCAATCAGGCTTTTGTTCCCCTGTCCTTGGCCCTGGTCACGATCACTGCACAAAGAAGGTTTTTAAGGCTGCTCTCCTGTTCCTGAGGTGGGTGGGAGAGAGCAGCATGCAGACTCCAGCTCACATCTGGAGCAATGAAGTTCAGGAAGGGGAACTGGCTGAAGCAGGAGAGGTGCTCCATGTTCTTATTCATCATCCTATAAATCCATGTCAAAGAGCTCCTCCCATGTGCCAGGTAGGCCTGACCCTCAGTGCAGCAAATACCAAGATTCCACCCTGCTCTCAAGAATGATGAAAGTGATGCCAATATGATGGGCACTCACAATGGGTAGGCACTCACTAAGTAATTTATTAGAGATTATTTTCCTTAAGCATCACAATAACTCTGAGAGGTATGTACTATTATTATTCTCATTTTCTAGATGAGGAAACTGAGACCCAAAAAGATTAAGAAATGGGCCAAAAGTCAGATAGTAAGAGCTGGGATTAGAACCAAAGCAGTCTAATTTCAGAGCCTGTAGGCTGAGCCATATCACGGTGAGGATCTGCCACTAGGGCCGGGATTTAAACTCCTTCCCCTGGAATACATCCTTAACCCCTCCTCCCACCCTCGGCCACATGTCTCACCATATTTCAGGTAGCTAGGGTTGTCACAAGCCTCTGCTTCCACCTAAGGAGTCAGCCAATGGAAATGGGGTGGGGGCCAGGCCATAGCAGAGGCTGCAAGTTTTTCAGCATCTTTAGGGCTGTAGTTCTCTGTCCCAAATGCTGCCGTTAAAATCGAGGCTACTTAGACTGGGAGAAAGGAACTGAGCCAGAAAGATTATTTTTTTTCTATTTCTCCTCATATCCAAGCCAAACTTTCTCACTGCTAAGACATAGGAGACACTTTCCCTGGTGGGGATCTGGGCTTAGATCCCAGAGGTTGCCTTAGCACCTGGAGCTTAGAGAGCAGCCACATCTGAGCTGTTGCATCAGAAACTCTACTTGTGACTTTCACGATGTTGAAGAAGCTCCAAGATTGCACAGACAGCGTTGTCTTCACATTCATATCCCCTTCACCCGCTAGCATGAGCGTCACTGCAGGCTGCCCAATGGACTGGGTGGAGGGGACCATACCGTTTAAAGACTCAGGCTCTAGAATCCAGCAAAGCGGGATCCACCTGCTGGCTCTTTCCCTTACAGCTGCGTGAATGCAGATGAATGACCAGTCCTCTTTACATCCAGTGTCCTTATCTGTGAGGTGGAGGGAAGGATGCCCTCTTCTCAGGGTCAGCATGAGGAGCAAATGAGCTTGAGTATGGACCATGTGGTACATATTTATAGATGCTCAGTGTGTACACATTCATTTTAAGATTCCAGTTTCCTGCCCTCTATCTTAAAAAGCGATAAGCATTAGGTATTTAAATAAAGGCCCTGCAGCTGGGACTAAAGAATACTGGACATAACAGAGGAACAGGATGAGTACCTATGGGAAGAATTTTAAAATTACCCTTTCCCTGGGGCACATGTCTCACTTCCAGCAATGGCATACCACCTGGTCCTGAAAGCTTATATGTGCTTGACCAAAAGATGGAAAAATGACTTTTACGTGTTTTGCTTTTGAAGAATTCTACTTGTAACTTGAAATCTCAGCAAGCAAGGAGCTAAGACCAGGTTCCTGAACCTGAAGCCCAGTTCCACTGACTTGCTGGCTATATTAGGACTTTTAAGTCAGCAGGAGACAAAAGCAAAGACAAAGAGTTTGCACACTCCAAATGTTACCATTTGGGTAGCCAGTTTGCCCTCTCTGGGGACATATTCTCCATCCACAAGGTCAGTGAACAGGACTGTGTCACCCTCTTTTTTTTTTTTTTTAATCAGCAATGTTCCCCTACTGCTAGCCACCTGGCCTTTCTTTAACCCCAAGCTGACTCCTCTCCCAAACCCATGCAATTTCCAGTTCACCAGACAGGATTCCTCTGTTCTCAGGACCTACCCTTTAGCAGCACAGCGAGTTGGAGTTTGAAGATTCCAGTTTGGGTCACTGATCTTACTAAGCTCCAAGAGTCATTGTCTCTCTCTGAGCCTCATTTTACCTGCAATGGTGGAAAGCAGCCCTTCAGTCCTGTACAAGGACCATATGTGAGAGTGTGAGAATAAGAGAGATGGCAGCATAGGAATATAGCACGTCTTCAAAGAAAAGATAATAAACATGCACAGGGCATCAGATGTGTTACAGGCACTGTGCTAAGCACTTAATATACAGTACCTTATTCCAACCTCACAAAAAAACAATGATTATCTTCATGTTAGAGATTAGGTAAGTGAGGTTCAGGGAGGTGAAATCCTTGGTCACATTGCTAGGAAGTAGTGAAGCCACAGTTAAAGCCGTAATCTGATTCAATCTAGAGTCAGAATTCTTAAATCATATTATTTTTCCTAATGCCCTTAAGTGACTGATAAGAGGCTCAATTTATTATTTCCCCATCAGACACTCTTGCAATGATAATGATGCTCAATGTGTTATCCATGGTGGGGAAGAGTTTCTATCACACCTGCAAGAGTGCATTGTGAGCAGCCCTTTCTGGTTTCATCGTTGACCGCCCGCTCTCTTTGCAGTCCATCTCTACAAGTGTGCAGCCCAGCGGGAGAGCTGCGGCCTCTGCCTCAAGGCCGACCGGAAGTTTGAGTGTGGCTGGTGCAGCGGCGAGCGCAGGTGCACCCTCCACCAGCACTGTACCAGCCCCTCCAGCCCCTGGCTCGACTGGTCCAGCCACAATGTCAAGTGCTCCAACCCTCAAATCACCGAGGTAAGTCATTCAAGTTCCTACAGCAGGAAGGGGCAGCCAAGAGCTGACCCCAAGACAGTGGAAGAGGAGTGCAAATTGAGCCTTTGTAGACAAGTTCTTGGCATAGAGAGGAAATCTCTCGTTTGTGTCTCGACGGCCCCCATCTAGGTCTACGAGGTAAGTGTATGGAAGCTCATCCTCATGCCTGTGCATGAATGTACAAGCGCATTGGTGTGCACGTGCACACGACAAGGGAGGCAGAGCCAGCCCAGTCTCCCTGCCAGGCTGGCTGAGCCAAGTGAGGAGGAGAAATTGGCTCCATGGTGGGTGAACGTTTCAGAAAACAGGTTTAGCTTTTCTCAGCAGAAATGTGATTTCAGGAGCCGCAATTAGCTCGGAGTTGCAAAGCTGAAAACGGAAGAAGAGAGTAAAGGCAGGCACTACATTAGCCACCGTGCCATTTCTCAGGATTTACTCCCTGTCCCAATTTTTTCATGCATTTTAATGGAAAGAAAAGGAAGTTAATTATCCTGGGGAAAAAATGATGTTTCCAAAATAGCAAATTTCGAAGGAAGATGAATAGATGATGTGGATGAAAACGCAATTGCTCACATTTTGAGTGGCCGGGTAGAGGAGTCGCTGTAGTTAACTTTGGTTGTGTTCTGTGCTCCCCCTTCACTGCTCCCTGGTCTGTAACTGTCACTCATGCTTTGAAATTAACTGCACTTTCCTGATGGGGACTGGGAATAAAGGGCCGGGCAGGTACCCCGGTGGTCTGCATGTTTAGGAAAGGAGGAAGGGCTACTCCTTTTCTGCCTCCTCCCTGAGCTGCTGCACCATCCTTTTCCCTGCTTCATTTTCCCTGCCAGCCAAGGAAAGCAACTCAGGTCCTCACCTATGTCACAGAATATTGGGAAACTTCTAGAACATGTCTATGATCATATCAAAACCCCAGATCAGTTTAGAAAAGAAACCCTCAAGATTGAATGGATGCTGCTGACCTACAGATGGGTTATTTGAAGAGGTGACAAATATTTATTCAGTGTGCGTAAATTACATTTAATCCTCACAACAACCATGGGAAGCAAGTATTCTCTCCCTCACTGTAGAGTTGAAGAAAATGAGGCTCAGAGAAATTGAGTGACATGCCCCAGTTCATACAGCCAGTATTTGAACTCATATTTAATTATAAAACCATTTTTAAATTCTTTACAATATGCCTAAGTAACATAAAACAAGAAGTGGTACTTCCTCTTCCTTAATGTCTTCCTTAGGGATCTTTCCTAAACCAGATAGATGCAATCCATCCCCAAGGCTGCACGTCCCGGGAAAGTCTGTGGGAGAGCCTGACTGCTTTCAGGCCCTCATTCATCCTCGTGGAGAGGAGTTAGGAGAGCACAGACACTGCCTTTCAAAGACAGAGCTACTTCAATCCCATTTTATTCTTGATTGTGACCAGGGATGGTGCCTCCCGACTTTCTCCTGTGTCTTTATGTCTCTGGAAGAGAATGTTTGCAGGGGCTGCTGGCAGTGCCCCAGCCTCTGCCCTCAGACAGCTAGCTTCCTGAGCTGCTCAGGGCTCCGTGCCTTCCCCCTGATTCGAGTGATTTCCGGCCACTGCTGGCCTGAGAACTTGCACTGTTCTGTAATTCTTGCTGCTGCAGTTGCCAGTCTCTACATCTGTGGGCACCCGTGGCGTGGGGGAGCTTAAATTAGGCAGAGACTTGCTTCCATCAGCACCGCCAGCCCGCCTCTGCCAGCCCCAGCAGCTGCACCATCCACTCCTCGGCTGGCTGGGGCCCCTTTCCAGCCCCAAGGCAAGCTTCTTGCTGGGAAACCTCTGCCTCAGCTGCCCTGCCCGCTGACCGGGGACTGACGGGCTGCTCTGTTCACAGAGGACACCCAAGCTGCATAAGGCTAATTAACCCCCTGAGGTAATTAGGCTGTAATTGATTTTTCCCAGTGAACATATCAGCAGGCATCGGAGGCCCCGATCTCCTGCTGGTGTTTTTCAAGTGGAAGCTGTTGAGAAATGAAGGAGCATCTTTGGAGAGAGGCAAATCCATGCTGTGTCCCAAGCCAGTCAGGGAACATCGCTGTGAACCGGACATTAGGGAGGGAGTATGCAGGCCTGGAATGCTGTATTCATGATTATCTGGAATATTTTCTTTCATTTCAATATTTTCTCTCTTTTCATTTTCTCCTACCCCTACCCCATCCTCCTTTCCCTGTGAAAGTCATTGTCTCCTTCTTTAACTTTTCATTCTTGAAATAATTTTAGACTTATAAAAAGGTACAAAAATAGTACAAAGAACTTTCATATACCCTTCACCCAGATTTCCAAAGTTAACATCTTACATAACCGCAGTATAATTATCAAAATCAGGAAATTAGCATGGATATAATAATACCATCTAATATACATGCCTTATTAACATTCTGCCAATTGTCCCACTGATGTCCTTTTCTGGTCTAGGATCCAATCCAGGATCCCATGTGACATTCTATTGTCATGTCTCCTTAGTTCTTTAATCCTCAGTCTTTTTCTGTCTTTTATGACCTTGATACCGTTGAGAAGTACATGCTAGCTGTTTTGTAGAATGCTAGGCAAATCCTTAATTTGGATTTGTCTAATGCTTCCTCATGATTAAATTCAGGTTATATATTTCTTTGGGAAGAAGTACCAACAAAACCTGTATGGTACATACCAAAAGGACACTTGAGGCAACTTGAAGGGGACCTCAGAGGCCAAATCTGGGCAATTTGAGCAAGAACATAAAAAATGATAGCTGTGGATTTCACCAGTAGAATAAAATAAGAATCCATTGGTTCCTCCTGATAAAAAGAAACAAACACGTAAATAAATAATGGGGGGACAGGAGCGGTGGCTTATGCTTGTAATTCCTGTTCTTTGGGAGACAGAAGCTGAGAGGGCCGCTTGAAGCCAGGAGTTCAAGATTAGCCTGGGCAACATGGCAGGACCCTGATCTTTAAAAAATAATAATAATAATTTTAAATTTCACTGGGCGTAGTGGTGCATTCTGGTAGTGATAGCTACTTGGGAGACTGGGGTGAGAGGATTGCTTGAGTCCAGAAGCCTGAGGCTACAGTGAACTATGATCATGTCATTGCACTCCTGGGTGACAGAGTGAGACCCTGTCACTTTTTTAACTTTTTTTTTTTTTTTTTTTGAGACAAGGTGTCTCTCCGTCACCCAGGCACAAGGTCTCTCTCCATCACCCAGGCTGGGGTGCAGTGGTGCGATCTTGGCTCACTGCAACCTCTGCCTCCCAGGTTCAAACAGCTCTCGTGTCTCAGCCTCCTGAGTAGCTGGGACAATAGGCATGCACCACCATGCTCGGCTAATTTTTGTATTTTTAGTAGAGACGGGGTTTGCCATGTTGGCCAGGCTGGTCTCAAACTCCTGTCCTCAAGTGATCCACCCACCTCGGCCTCCCAAAGTGCTGGCATTACAGGTGTGGGCCACCATGCCTGGCCAAGACCCTGTCTCTAAGTAAATAAATGGGGAGAAAAGAAGCTCTTCTTTACACTAGAATTCCAACTAAAAAATGTAGAAGGAACTATGAAAATAGAAATCACCATTTGACAAAGTACACAGTAATAATTGTTTCAGGCAAAGAATGGTCAATGAACACTAAAATTAGCAGATGAAACTATGATGAGAAATAGGATATTTACATAACCTTAAGCCACTTTCCCATAAGATACTTATTAATTATAACAAGAACAGTAGTAGCTGGGCAGTGAAGAAACGTAGTAGACCTCACCCAAACCAATTGATGAAAGTAAACAAAACCAGTAATGGGAAAAATCCTCCTCATGTACCTTTCAACAGAATGCTCTGAGAAGGACATGACTTCATTTGTATGATGTTTTTGGCAAGAATGCGTTATTTGCTAAAAGTAACCTTTAAGGAGAATCAACTCTTTTTCTTTCTTTTCTTTCTTTTTTTTTTTTTTTTTTTTTTTTTTGACAGAATCTTACCTTGTCGCCCAGGCTGAAGGGCAGTGGTGTGATCTCGGCTCACTGCAACCTCCACCTGCTGAGTTCAAGTGATTCTCTTGCCTCAGCCTCCCACGTAGCTGGGACTACAGGCACGTGCCACCACACCCAGCTGATTTTTGTATTTTTAGTAGAGATGGGATTTCACTAGGTTGGCCAGAGTGGTCTCGAACTCCCAACCTCAGGTGATCTGCCTGACTCGGCCTCCCAAAGTGCTAGGTTTACAGGCGTGAGCCACTGTGCCCAGTCAACTCATTTTCTTTTCTTCAGCTTTCTTGACTAATCCCTTCACACAGGTATCAATATTTTCCCCAAACCTCTGAATCATTGGATGTCTATGAGGCCTGAACCCTTTGATGCAGACCTCCTTGTCCCCAGCCTTCATGTTCAGAATGGGTGCCCTCCTCAGTGCAGTCACTCTGTGCAGTAAACAGAAGCCACTTACTACAAAGATCCTTCTTGAAGGATGAAAAGAGAAGGATTCTATGATGGCCTATAATGGCAGAATTTCCAGTCCTGGAAATAAGTGGAAGCTGGAATGGATGCTGTGCTGCCTGGGATGGCAGAGAAATAAATGAGATGACCTCAGAGGAGTTCTACTTTAGAAAAATAAGTGGGCTCACACATAGTTAGATAAACAGCTGTGTTCCTCCTTAACCCCTGCTTACCCCATCTTCTCCATGGCAACCAGGCCCATCCCGGGGGATCCATCTTTTATGGCAGCTTCGTGTAGAACAAGTTGTACGGGCTATTGAATTTCACAGTTTACATAAACTTCAGGTTAGGACCCCCTCAGGACTCACCGTCTGCTCCTTCTCAGCCAGCTCGTGGTGTGATAATGATGTTGTCCCCCGTGGGAGGCCTCGTGAGCTGCTCCCATTTCCAGCTGTCATTCTGGGTGTCTGTGCACGTGTCACCTGCTCAACCCCAGGAACAGGAGACATGCAGAGGATTGGAAAGCCCATGAGATGTCTGGCCTGCCACGTATCTGTTCCCCC